AAATGTGTTGTCGGTAATAATTTTTTTTTTTTTTCCAAAAATGTATTGCCGGTAATTTTTCCAAAAATGTATTGCTAGTATTTTTACTATAAAAAGCTATTTTTACAGTTTCATAGTGTTTTGGAGGGGTTAACTATTTGCTCATAGCTGGGATCCTAACAGGTACTACCACCTCTGGTCAGGGTGGACCTAGGAACAACAGCAATTAAGAGGTGGTTCCATGCTCTTCAAAATCTCCCAATCAGAGGCCTTGCTGCCGGATGTAGTTTATTGTCATACTCAGCATGTAATAGGTCATGAGAAATATCCAGATCTAACTAATGGCTTAAAGGCACTAATTCTAGATGCTTTGCTCACAGGTTCAAGTTCAACCACTGATATTTCTCTTGACTTTTATTTAGCTTCTTTTGTCTATAAATAGGTATGTAACAACAATCCAATTCCCACTGAATACATTATTTCTTCATTTTAATTTTTTCTCTTTTAAATGCATTTCAGATAATTTGCCATGGAAATGTAATTTCTGCATAACAAATTGTTTTATGTTAAATAAAATAATTATTCATTAATTTAATAAATCAAACATTAACATTGAAAATTAAGTTTTCAAATCTATAGTAGTAGTAGTAATAATAATAATAACAACAACAATAATCCTGTATTTTGAAAACTATGACTGCTACAAACTGCAATTCCAAGCATCAACGCAAAAAAATAGAAACTGTGAACATTTTATCTTTAATGATAAAAGTATCATTAAAGATAATTAGAATCATTTGATAACTTTTCTTTAAAATGTCAATCAAGTTTGAAAATTCTTAATGTTCATAATTTGTAACAACTTTATTTTGACTTGTTTCTTGGTGGATCCTTTAAAATTATTAATATGGAAATTTGTCTTTTAATGAAAATTGATATGTGAATACACACTATAGGCCAAAATTTTGGGAACACCCTCTGAATTTTGATGAATTGCCTAAAAATTGAAGGTTACATGCTTTTTCAAAACTAATTTACTACCGCACTTCTAGCCACAAGGACTTTCTATCCCTGGAAGGTTTTATCGTATATTATCATATATTCAATAATAACAAAATTAATCCATTACCACATAAGATTTCCTTAAAATTTTAGTTCTTTTTGCCTAATCTACCTTGCTGGCTAATGGTAGTGGGCTGATTTTAAATTTAGGTAAACCCTCTCTAAAAGATTTGGATACCATGCACTAAATAGTTTCAACATCTTAGCTTAGTAGGAGTTAATTACACCAAAGAAAGCATGGAACTTACTAATTGTTAAATCCAGAAAGTGGCCCCAAACTTTTGGCCTATAGTGTGTGTGTGTGTGTGTGTGTGTGTGTGTGTGTGTGTGTGTGTGTGTTGTATGTGTAAAGTGGCTATTTTTAACCATCTTTTTAATTCTTTTTAACAAGACAGAAAAATCCCATCATAACATAAAAATTAGCATTAACCACATGGAAGCAGCTGAGAATACATCTGAGAGAAATTTGTATCCTGGAGTTGCCAAGAAGACATATCCCCAATATGTCATACACACACTGACGAGCCCTGTATCCACTTATATTGAAAATATTTTAACTTATTTTCCACGCTTGGTAACAGACTTTGTGCCTTACATGTTATCATAAAGTAGCATTATTTATGTTTATTGCTGATAAATATGATGTTGACAACATCTAGTAAACAAATGTGATGTTGACAACATCTAGTAAACAAAATCCTGGTTTTTTAAATGACAATGATCTTGAAGAGATATTGTGCATCTACTTTGAAGGAATTGTACAATGTTTTTGCACTTTCTGGATCTCCTTATTCTGGCTGTAAATTGGATATTGTATCTAGATAATTTGTAGAAAGTGATGAAGGCAATGAAATTAATAATTGTCTTTGAGTAGCTGATGAGATATTTTGATATGATATCACAAAGAATTGATAAAAAGATATTTTTCACAGAGGTTTTAAGGCAAAAATATCCACACTTGTAAAAGAGGAAATAAAGAATATTCCTCATTCTTAGTGGTATACAAAAGTGAATTTAGTCATGTGACTATAAAAGAACATCAGCTTTTATCACCAATTTTCAAATTCTATTTCCATTGTTACAGTTCTATTTCTTATAAAGCTACAAAAGTCTACTAAAACTGCTATTAAATATTTTTAAACAACATGATCATGAAAGACGTGATAAGGGAAAACTTTTTTTTTTTTAAAGCAAACAGGATGAGTAACATTTAAAAAACAGAGGATATAAATTGCAGAGAAGAGAAAACAACAAAATGTGGGCAGAGTTATGGCTACTTGAAATAAACTAAATGAGTCGGAAGACAACATTATCTTTCAAAACCAATTAGAATTTTTTTTTTACTGATGCCATACTTGAAGTTTAAAGGAGAAATATCATTTTGTGTTGTCCTTTTGAGGAAAAAAAAAGTTTCCATCTGGTCTTTTGGGGTGCGGTCCCTTCTCATATCATATATCATTATGCTCTGAGCCAAGGGAGCAACGCCCAAGATGGCTGTGTTCAGAGTTGTGTTTATTTTGTATTACTGCATTCTTGAAAAGTAAGCCTTCTTATGGCTATGGTTCTTAGAGCAATAATACCATTTTATATGCAGTGAATTGACAATATGGATGAAGGAGAAATGGGTCAGAGATGAGGGTTGAGGATGTGACCCAGAGATGAGGGTTGAGGATGTGACCCAGAGATGAGGGTTGACGATGTGACCCAGCCACAAAAACAGCAGAAAACTTGCCCTGCACACAAAAAATAGTCACACTGTGTGCAAAATTTCCTGTTATAATTTAGGTATTTAACACAAGCAAAGATGTATCATACTTTTGAATTAAGTGTACCACTGTAGTCTACAAGGCAACACAAAAATTTCATATATGATGGTTATTATTGGGTTTAAATTTATAAACTAGGTTCTCGGACAGCATTTTTTGTCATAACTTAAGTAATGCTGTCTTCAAAAATGGTATAAAACAATTAAATTATACCAGGAGTGATGGGAATATATTTGTACGAATTCTTTATTTCACAATCTTTGTTACCAATGAAAATTTCAGTTTTGTTTATTCATGCGCATAAATTTTCATTATCAATGAAAATTGTATTGAATAATTTGTAGTGTAAAAGGAAAACAAAATAATTTTCATATGTTTCTGGTAAGTTTACAATAAAAATATTATGAAAAATAGAAAATTTGCTTTAGGAGATTACACTATGAGTGCTATTGGTGCCATGTAACCCATTACTACCTGCCATTACTTTTCAGGTCATCAGCAACTAAACCAGTCCCACCACCAGGCTTTTCTGGTAAGGAGGGTGACTAGACACCCAGCAAGAGTAAAAACAAGACCTGTAAATAGGTGGATAAACCATCTTGTCAGATCAACTGCCACATGGTCATCAGCAACTAAACCAGTCCCACCACCAGGCTTTTCTGGTAAGGAGGGTGACTAGACACCCAGCAAGAGTAAAAACAAGACCTGTCAATAGGTGGATAAACCATCTTGTCAGGTCAACTGCCACATGGTCAGGTCATCAGCAGCTAAACCAGTTCCACCACCAGGCTTTTCAGGTAAGGAGGGTGACTAGACACCCAGCAAGAGTAAAAACAAGACCTGTCAATAGGCAGATAAACCATCTTGTCAGGTCAACTGCCACATGGTCAGGTCATCAGCAACTAAACCAGTTCCACCACCAGGCTTTTCAGGTAAGGAGGGTGACTAGACACCCAGCAAGAGTAAAAACAAGACCTGTCAATAGTTTACACACCAAGTAGATGTTCAGTTAAGGCATATAAGAATTCTAACAATATTATATTTAATAATAATGAATTTTTAAACTAATAATTGCTCCACATTTACTTAGAACATACAATACCAAAGGATGTTAATATATAGCTGAAAGTGCCAAATAGTTAATTATGTAACATTCTCCTTTTTGAAATTCCCACCATGTCTTCCTTTTGTCCTCTGTATACAGATGTGATTAATACCTGTTTTTTTTAATGATGCTATATAGACTTTGGGACACTCACATTGTGCTATTCTCAATCTGTTCATATCAGAAGAAAGAAAGAAAAAACAAGGAAAAGTTATTAATATCTAAAACATTGTGATAACAAAAACAATAAAAATGAGGACATTAGTCCAAATGTAAATAATGATAATGCCTCATCTCAGAGATTCAGACAGAAAATATATTTTGACTTTTCTTCAAATACTTCAATGATATTCTGTATTTTAAGAGGTTTAAAAATTGACTTTATAACTTAACTGAATTTATAAATATATTCACAATTGGTGGTAATACTTCTACAAATAATGGCTCACTTGACAGACAAGAGTATCTTCTCTTAAATTTCATTATATGGAATATTAAATGCACTATTGAAAATTAGCCATAATATGGATATTTTTATGGGTTTAATGGCAAAAACTAGAGTGACTGAATTTTTAAAAGGTAAAAAAAATGTAGTAGTCAAGATAAGTTGCTTTATGATGTTACTACAATGGACAATCAATCTATAACTGTGCCCTTTACCTCGTACTCTGCAACCCTCTACCTCAAGTGGCTCTTGCGCCTTGTAAAGGATTGACATTATTGTGGGAAAAAAAAAAAAAAAGGTTTAGATTTATTTACCTCCCAAGATAGAATATCACAAAAATTGACCCCATCCCTGACAAAAAAGTCCTTTCAAAATGTTTACATTGTAAAATCATTATCTGGTAGAAGGCTGATTGATTCATTCTCTATGGCTTATCAACCCTCTGCAGGTAATTTAAAGCCAGAAAATATTTTTAGATTGTAAGAATTGGGGTGGGGGAGATAATAATGGTTTAGTGATACAACTGGGAGGAGAAGAGGTGGAGTCAAACCTTTCCTGAGGGTGAATAACAAACCCAATGGGAATTGGAACTCAGCTCTCCGATTAACAATTCCTAGCCATTATATCATCCACACATCCAAGT